GAAGAGCTTTCATTGATACAAATTGAAATGTAATCTTAATGTGGTAGAACTACGTTACCCATTTACACCAATCAAGCTCGTAAATTCTCACCTCATCGGAAGTTAATTCTCAGTAACATGATCATATGATCCGTAACATGATTTTTATAACATAATTCAAAATGACATAAGTTTAAAACTTTTTCTTGATATATTATGTTCTTATAACCTATGAAATACATCAATAAATTATTACCTTAAGGTTGCTGTACTTGGTATTTGCACGATCGAAAACTTCGTGTTTAGAATGTGAATACTACTTGAAATTGCCATAACAAATCTCCAATATTGTACATATCTGATTTCTCATTTAATTTGTAATTTTAACATTTTTGGATCTATGTATAGTACAGTATTACACCAATTTATTATACCAAATTACTTCATCTTCATTATTTATTTTTTTTTTTTGACAAACTAATGTCACGTACTTTGATTTTTAAGATTTTTGACTTTTTTCTTTAGGCGTGCATTTATGGTGATTTAAAAAAAAGTCGATTTCATCTTAACTTTCGTCATACTTGGTTTTTAGGCAGCGTCACTTGTTTTTATCAGCATTATTAAAAAATAATCAAGCTTTTATATATTAAGATCCGTGATACTTTTTTTTTTAGGTGTGGATTACTTAATCTCTGTAACATTACATTTTTTCCATTAATATAGAATATTATAGCAAAATGAAATGTAATTAAATTGCAAATAAATAGCAATTATTCAAATTAAAAGTCTATTACATCCATTAAAAATGATACAAAATTGCAAAAATAGTTCTGACAGGATTGGACTCTGAAGGGTTGGTGACCGACGACCATATCGTCAATACACTCAATTAATGGATCGATTGGATGATACTGCGGCGAGCAATGCAGTCCATTATTACCATGTCCTCAACTGAGGTTACCAAATTTCCTAATTACTGGACTGATTAATCGTTTCCTTACGTTGTAAGGGCTCCTGCCGTTCAGTGATGGGCTTTTGGATATATACACTTTTGATTATATTATTTTTTTTAATTTTGACGAGATAATGAACCTTTTTGGTTTCCTGATAGAAATTATATGGATCCACAGGATGTAAATCTCCTAGAACCGAAGAATGTAATCCATTTAATATAATTGGATATTTCATTTTGTTGCTAGGTAGCATTACCCAGTAAATTTTTTTTTAAAAAAAAGAAAACAAATATGCTAAAAGAAATAAACATTTCATCTTCTTTATTGCGTCCTATGTAAACAGACTTGACAAATAAAACACCGTAGTGTTCTCTGAATCAAACAAATGAATCAAGGTAGGAGAGAGTATTCAATCGGTGAAATAGCGGATTCTAATGTGGATCTTGTCAAGGGTAATGTCTAGTACTTTATGATATCCCTTTTTCATAAACACAATCTTTATATTCTAATTCTGGAACTAATATTATGAAATAGAAATGTCATAAATGATGATAGAAAATCTTTTAATTATACTAGTAAATAGGATTGTCATGATCAGAGTGATGTATTTTTTTTTGTTGTAAACATCTTTAGAGGTAAATCCATTCATTCATACATTCATTTTTAATTGTTGATTATAGAGATTGTACAATTAAACTAAAGATAAAATTTAATTCGTTATGCGTTGACCATTAAGGTAACGCACATTAGCATTTTCGGTTCACGTAAAATTAACCCGGGGATCCAGGTTTATTTTTTATTAATAAAAAATTTTATATGAAATCGTAACTATGTGATTGGTCGGCTTTTAAAGAGTAATTAATTATAATCGGCGTGAGCATTTTCCGTATTGTGAATAATGTAATGTTTTAAAAAGGAAACAAAGTGAACCAATAAATGGCGAGAACCACCAATAAATATTCGTACTTGGATAATTTTGAGTATGTAGAAAATCGGTACAGTACGATTCGCTTGACTGGTACGGTACGATGTTGCATATCAGTATTTTTTCGCGAAAATTGGATCGTACCGGTAGCATATATAAAAGCTTTATTATAGAGCCAGTACGGTACGATACGAATTTTAGAAAATTCGTTCTTATTCGAGTATATAGTATTTAATTACGGTACAATATTATATAAAAGGTAAGGTACAATAAATTATTTATAGGTACGATCAATTATTAACAGCGGTCATTAACTCTATATTTTTGGGTACGTTTAAACAATTTAGTTAAATATATTTGCTTAAATTAAAATTAATTTGCTTTTATTTTTTTTAGCGCGTTTAATTCATTTTCTAAATAGCAATATTTGTTGTTTTAATAAAATATTTCTAATAAAATCATTCATTAGTTAAAAAATTGGTGTAACCTAAATTACGATAACATATTTATTGTAATAATAATATGACTTCACGAAAATTCGTGTCCCAAGTTTCTAATACATTTAATTTCTTTCTTCTCTACACATATCAGTTTGCTATAACTATTTTGACCATTTTTTTTCTGAAATTTCTTTAACTTTATAATAGTTATATTTAGTTTGTTTTTTTGAGATCCTTTTCGTAGATAAAAATGACAGCAAATAAAATTGACTTGTAATATAGATTTGAAAAAAGTAGATTAAAGACACTTATTCAAAAAAAAAAGCGATATAAAATATCAATTTTGAGAAAATTCACTTATTTGATTTAATATATAAAAAAATTTTTCCTGAAAGTATAGCAAATAGTAAAAGTATGTTTATTTTATGTTTAATTTAATACAAACTTATTCTTCTTCATTTTTATGTTTTCTCCACCAGCATTTAATGCGTTGCATATCCCAATCTTCAGATAATTTACTTTGGATTTCATTAAGAATTGTAGAATCCGTTAGAAATTGGTAATATTTTCAGAGTAGTTCTAATATTGCTCATTCTTCATTTGTTGTTTTTCAGTAAATATGTGCTTGTGATTCTTGATAACTTGATTATAAGACAGGTGCTGCTAGATCTGTGTTGCCTGAGTTGACTAAAGTAGGAGATTTATTTAATATTATAGTTAGAGTAAGCTTATTCCTTTTTCTTATTCCTACAGCTTCTTTTTTTCTATTATTATAGTCTTTTAATGAGGTTTTTATAATTCCTAATTCTCTTCTTCCAGTAGTATTTCGCTTTTCCACCTTAAGAACTTTTTGACAATATATAGACTAGGCTTTTGTAATTGCACAAAAAAATTCTAGATAAAGTTTAATAAAATACTTTTGCTAATTTCGCCTGGATGACGATCACTTTGGTATCTATTTCACCTTAAGAAGGTTATTTCGCCTGGTAACTATGGGTTGTACAAATATTTAGAAATATAATTATGATTAACTTTAACTTCGCGTCTAACTATAATTTTTGTAGTTAACGTTAATAAATATATAATAAATATTATTAAGCTACTGCACCCAACAAATGAAAAAAAAATTTTTTAACTTGACATGATTTCAATCAATTTTAATAGAAGCGGTGTTTTCTTGCATATATAAAATTTATTTGTATAATATCAATAACCCGAGATTAACAGAGGCAGGCGATATAACTTCGTAATTTAATATATTCACTACAGACTAATCTGGTAAAAATTTGAGTTTTGTTGAAGATTTGACAGGTGTCAAAATCGAATCTATTTTGACGCTTTGCGTCAAATATTTTTTTTAAGGCGAAACCGCAAAAAGTTTTGATGGGTGTCAAAATCCGTCAAACCCTTTAATATAAAAGTGGTTTTCAAAATAGATATCCCTTCCGGTAAAAAAAAAAATCCTGATTTATACCGAGTAAATTTAAAGTCACGGTTACCTTAATTTATTTAATTATAATTTTTTAATATACAGTAAGTTAATATCTGAGTTTCTTATTTTTATTTATTAGAATTATTCGTGAATTAGAAATCTATTTTGAGGCTATTCAATAGTCAGCATGTGGTTTAATATAAGGGACCTCTGTAATAGAAAAGGGGGAAACTGTCGGAAAAAATTAATTTTACTTTTATATGATTTTTAGGCTAAACTATACTCAGATTTAGCATCATCTCATTTTTTATTTTCCCGACAGTCCCTTTTTCTATTGCAAATAAAAAAAATTTCAAATACTTTCCATATTCGACGATGCGCCACGACACCGCATAAAAAGGGCAGAAGGCGGTTTTTTTTTAAAATACTTACCCGATTTGGCGCCCCTGTACCGAAAAATCCTCCTACAAATCATTACATTTATTTTATTACTTTTTAAATTAATTTATTATTATTATTTTTTTTTTTTAAACAAAACAACAAAAAAAAAATAATTCTTTATTCTTCAAAACTTTTCCAAGATAATCTTGAAACTTTCGACGGATTTTGATGGTTGAGATGGCCACATAAGTTTTATTTTTAATTTTATCTTATCAAGAATATTATTGGATTGCTTCGGAGCTTAGTAACTGATGATTTCTTTTTATTTTCAAAGTTTTGCACTATTTAGGTTCTTCTTTCGAGCTGATTCGCTTCCAAAAGTGATGACGATCAGTTTATTTTTATAAATTTAGCTTTAATTTAATCAAAAACTTCAATGGGTTTTCATCTCTCAAAAATATTGCCCCCTATCATAATATTTACCAGTACAGTAAAAACTTTTAGCACCCGTTGAAACTTTCGCGGTTTTTTCTTTACAGCTAATTTCATAAGTCACGGGACCGAGAATTTCCGAGAACATTTCTAAGGATTTGGAAAAGTCAACCACATTTTATATGGGTGAAAAAATTATGTCGCTATATTCGGAACACTGATCTGAACATAGCGATTATGTTTTTTCTTCAAAAAATTCTATATACCGAGTTTTACCGAGTTTTTTTTAATCGATCTGCAAAATGATCGTGACTTTTTGAAAAAACGTCAAAATTAGTTTCGATTTTTCCACCTGTCGAAACCTCAGGGATTTTCCAGAGGACTTATTACATACCGCCTTTGGTACATAAATCATTTTACGTTTCGGGTATGTTCTCAACATTAAAGTGTTAAGGTACCTATCTTCTCCAAAGAGCAATAAATTTTTTTGATGAAACATTTCTAGAATATAATTCTACAATATCAGGATTTGCGAGTTTGGGAACGGAATATCCATTGTATTTTGGTACTTTGATACGATACATACAAAAACTCCCTGGCAAACAGGTTATTCTACCAAATATTGATTCAAAGATTTTCCAAGATGATCCAAAGTATAATATTAAATTGCAACCCAACTCGTTTTCTTATTCGCTACTTTCGTTTACCACAAAGTCCCATAACCGTTGAATCTCGTCCATCGCTGCCATCATCCTACTAACTCTATCCTTAATTATTAGCGTTTCTGCATCAACCATAAGTATTGTCTCGTATTTATCAGGAGTTACTCCCGTTATGTTCGTACCTTTTATAATAATTCAATAATTCGAATTCCAATGATGTATCAATTCCTAATTTCTAATTACGCCAATTTAGTATGATTGGTTGAGGTGAATAAGACGTAACCACTAATGGCGTAACTTCAATGTCATTTTAGCCAATCCTGCATGAAACCCAGGTAATTTTTTTATTAAGGTTTGTATTCATCTTTTATCTTTTATAAGAAAAAAAAATGAATGGTACAAGAATGTTTGGTCGTCACATGGATGGAATTATCATATATTCGGTATTCTCATTTAAATTTTGCTGAAAAATTTTAGTTTCCATACTGAGACAAAAATCATTTTAAACTGTCATATAAAGGAAAGTTTTTAAAAACAAACATTTGGAGAAGTAATTTAAACTTTCAATTCAATAAGAAATATGATTAATAATCGTTAGAAAATGATTTAAACCCCATTGTAATCTTTTTTTAATATTTTCACGAACAAAAGTAAAAGCAAAATAAAAATAAAAATCGTCCAAATAAAGATGTAAATGCGGAATAAAAAGATAATAATTAGCGTTGAATTATATACAAACTTCTAATATTTTACTTTTTTGTTTAAGGCATTAAAAAAAAATTCGAAATTATTAAATTTTCGTCTCTCACCTCAAAGGAAAGAAAATGATAAAGTCAACATTTACAAATGAAAACAGACTGTGTTATAAGTAAATAACGCGATTGCAATAATCTTAGTAGAAAAAATTGAAAGGTTTTGAGATAGATCTTGATTCTATTTTGACAGATGAGTACAAGAATTGCTAAAAATTTTTTCGAATTTTTGGTTAAATTTAGCGCACAATACGACTTCAAAAAGAAATATATAGTATAATTTTAAAAATTATGAATAATACTTTTTTTCTCATAAAGAAATTGTATGAGAACATTGAAACCGTCCAGTATCAATATCATATCTTTTCACAGATTCTAAAATACTAATGTTTCTACCTTGTATATTGTGTGTAAATTAGTTGATTGAAATAAAAAATTTTTGGACAAGTCCAGTTAAAAATTACTGCTAATGGTATAAAAAAAAAAATGAAATTTGACGAAACCCACAATTTAAAAGCGTAACTAAAAAATTCCAATACCTTGTCGGAGTGATTTTAAGATTGGATTCTGAAAAATTTTAACTTATAAATTTGAAATAATTGGTTGATTTAAAAAGGTAGGTTTAACGCTAAAATATTTATATAAGCATAGAAAAGCTTGTACAATGTTAATTAACTTTATTTAACTTTTCCAAATAATTTGTTGACGATCGTACTAACCAAAACTTTTCATCAGTTTATTTCCAAATAAAAAAAAATTTCAACAATTCGACGCTGCGCTCCGATACCGAAAATCCTAAAATCAATAAAAAGGCTGCGCGTCAACGTCAATGATTAATGCATGCTATAAAATCAATTTAAATAAATTAATTGTTTGATCCGTGGTACTAATTTTTTTCCGCTTTACGTTTTAATTATTACACTTTTACTTCGATAAATTATAACACTTTTTAAGTTTCAATTAAACTTAAAACTTACTGGGAACTAGTTTGTGATCATTAAGATCTCTGCTTGAAACTTAAAGGATTTTGAAATGAAAAAAATAATGTAATTAATTTGTCTATTTATTTTGCTTTATAAATTTTTTTGTGCATCTTAAGGAGACGAAATTACTACTCGGCTATTCTTGCCGATCATTTTTACATTTGTAGTAGAAATATTTTTTTTTTTTTTTAAAAAAAACGGAAATAAAATATCAAATTTAATTAAAAAAAGAGAATTAATATGTAAACAAAAAAGCAGTAAAGGTGAAGTTTGGCTTTAATTTAATGAAATTATTGACACACAATAGCAATAAATAATAAACTGGGTCAGGTTCGAGTTGTCGTATTATTAAGTCCGGGCCGGGCCGGGCTGGCATTTTAATACTTTGCTTAAAGTCCTGGCTTCAAAATTTGGACTTATGCAAACCTCGTCTATAGCTCTAATATTATATATTTTTGAATTAAATTGCTTAAAATAAATTAATTTATTCGTTCGTTTAAATAATTTTTAAATCATATTATGTTAAAAGATTTAAGTACTTTTATAATAAAAAACTTTTTTTATTATATTCTTTATTAGTTAGTTAATAGGAATGATTTTCTTAGAACTGACAGTTCCGATCGAGCTTCATCGGCGTTCGATTCTTGAACCGACTCTGAGTCGCACCATTAATTACTTTTATTTTAAAAATTAACCATTTTAAATTTGCATTTATAAATTTAATTTTATTAGTTTAATCACACTGCACAGCAGTTGTAGAATTAACGAGTCAAATACAAATCTATCGGAAAATTACAGAGTAAATTTGAAAATGCGCCGCAAATAAAATACTTTGTGGAATTAAAAAAATTAGGCTATATACAAGGAATTTATGAATACAAGCAATTGAAATTTTTTTCCACAACCAGTGTAGAAATAAATATTAACGCCACCATAATTTTATCAAAATTTTGGATACCACTATTACATAATATTATCTAAATTAAATCCATATTATGATTTTAAACATTCAAGAATTTTGTATTATCAGCTTAAAAAACGATGTCCGCTTCATGTCTCCCTACTTTACCTCAAGATCTTAACTTTATCTTCCACTCTGACTCCATTGACTCCATTGAATTTTCCAGAAACAATGAACTCATACTTTTTGGGATCTTTGAGCTGTCCCAATATAGAAGTTAGTTCGGGATTATCACGTTTGCATTCATCCCAGAGCCAAGGTTCTCTGCAAATATACCATAGATTAAAATGTATATTTTCTGTAAAATTTTCTAATCATAATCTTACCTGTTTTGCATCATTTGATCGTAGATTTCGGTAATATCTCCAAAATCGTGGCTCCAATGATTTCCAGTCCCACCTTCTTGGAAATCCTGGTGATAGTTTTTCTCAGGAGATTCTGCGCCCCACAAAAGGACACCCTCCATCCTCAAACTTGCAGAAACATTAAAGATGGCAATGTAATTGATGGTAACTGACTGATCGTAGCTAATAGAAGTGACCTGAACCCTATCCAGATGCATATAAAAGTTTGGTTAACACGAGTTCGATACAATAATTCAGAAAACGAAAATAATTAGTTTACCTCTTTCCGGCTGGGATAAAAATATCACTTACTGCTGATTCAGTTCTAGTTATAGTTTTGGTACCGCCATCTTTGTTAAACAACTCTTGCGAAAAACCAAATTTGAGACTTATCGATGCTTCCCATATTTCCTTGACGCCTTGCTTGTAAGAGGCTGAAGCCTCTTGGTTGAAAGAAAATTTCTTACTACATTCCCAAATCAATTGCTCAGTTACTGAGTAATCAACTTTCCTGGTTATAGTTGTACTGAAATAAAAAAAAAAAAAAAGATAAATATACTATAAGCACAAAATTCAGATTAATCATGTGAGAATAATAAAGATCCATACTCTGTAGGGTAAGGTCCATAAATCGATATATCGATTTCGCGAGGGTTAACGTATTCTATAATTGGATCGGACGTAATTAGATCCTTGAGGCCAGACTTGAAATCATAGAGTACATAAGATGGTAACTTGTTTTTGTGATTCACATCCTTCCTAGTACAATCCCAAGTATACCCTCTAGCCGTGCGTCTATAATGTCCACTACCTATAAGGAAAAGGCAGTTTGTAAATTTAACTAATCGTTACGGTATTTCGTAATTTCGCAATAAAATAAAAACTCACCAGCCCACGCTAACCCTAAATGTTCGGCCATTCGATCAATGGGTGTAAGGGTTGATTTCATAATTTCGTTGTAAATAGTTTCAATGTTTTTGTGGTTGTAAGGCACAGCCATAAAGGATCTTTTGATATTGGCCTTCCAGGAATCTATCGCTTTAAATCTTTTTTTCCAAACGGTATCAATCTCTGGGCCTAAAGCTTCATTTCGATAACTGTGTTCGAACGTATTGAGTTCCTTTTGGAACTTTTCTAAGCTATCGTAATCTCCTTTTTTCACTTTGTCACATATAGGTTGAACTTTTTTGTCCCATATGTTATTACAACACTCTTTTGAAGCATCTTGGTTATATCTGCTCATATTTTCCTGTTCTTCATTGATGCTTTCCACGAGGATGTTCTTCCGTCGCTGAATATAAGCTTTTGAAGCCTCTCTTTGACCCGAAAGGGCTGCAGTTTTTGTATCAAAAAGAGAGTGGTATTTGTCTTTTCTGTCGTACAATAAGACTTTGATTATGAAAGTAAATGTGAATTAGTTGCAAAGAATTAATGTCATAAGAGACAATATAAAAAAATACGCAATTGCTTACTGTCTAGCTCTCTTAATGACATTGGAATATTTGGTATTTTCACATTAACTTCGAGCTTGTATTCATGAAATACATTTTTATGTATAGCTTTGACTTTCTTTTTGAAATCTTTCATGTACTGTTTCAAGTACGCGTTATACTCGATACGGAATTTTTTATTTTTGGAATTCAGCTAGAATAATGACAAATCTCTTAAGCATGAGTATGTCTAAATAACATGCAAAAAGGCACGGAAATTTGGAAGCTTACTTTATTTTTGAAAACGTGATAATGCTCTTTTATGATGAATTCCGGATAGCTTGCGATTTTTTTATCATACTTTTTCATTATGTCAGCAGTACACTTTGTAATGATTGTTTCAAACATTTCTGGCTCCCCACGAAGACTATTATACAATTTCACAACGTACTCTGCTAACAGTTGCTTACATGTACGTGAATACTCTTGCTCGGTAGAGTTTAAGCTTAATTCATTTATTTCCTTCAACTCAGCAACCTGTGATTTAATTGTGTCAGAAAAATTTTTGCAAATAACATCAGCTATGTCGAGGGGAATATCGACGTCAAAAGATCGCTGGCGGAACTCATTTATAGATCGATCAATAAGTTTCTTTGTCGATAACACTAATTGAATATTTTTGAAAGGCATTTGATCATATGGAATCAAGTTATCAAGATTCCTTTGAAATATTTTAATACTAGAAAACAATAATATTCTCGATTTCTTTTCACATGATTCTAACTGTTTAACAGTCATGGTTTACTTTGCTTCACTGTTTCTTTATGACGCAAAATACGATATAATATGATACATATATGTGATCTATATTAACTTTTGATTTATATTGCCAAAAGAAAATGAAAAAAAAAATTACCTACTTTATATGTAAAAATATGAATATTAAAGTAATATATTTTTTGGGTGGCAGACAATAGTTTTATATAAAGGAACGTTTACATCAAATTGTAAATATAAAAATTTTAAAAAAATAAAAGATCAATTTACGATGATATTTATTGCTTACTTTCTCAAGGTTTAAGGTGTGAGAAGAAAAATATTTCTTGTACTTATATCGATTTTGTGTTACTGATTATTGAATGAAATAATGAAATTATCCGGTTAGCTTAGAATTCACTTTCAAAAAATCGTTTTTGGTTAGGCTCGAAGTAAAATGCGGTTTGATTAGATAATCTATATCATATCTTATCATTATTGATAATCAATAATTTAAAGTTTATAACGATTCCAATAATACGCCGAGTATTCATGTATTTTATTTTCATTTAAATCATTAGTCGATCACGTCGCACAACCTTCTTATTTTGTACGCAACTAAATGGTAATTCGAAATTTTTTTTAAGTCTTTCCTCTTTTTTTTTTTTTTGTATTCATGTAATGAAAAAAATAAATAAAAATAGTAATTTCGATATTTTTTTTTTTTCTTTTTTACAATTCCTGTTATGGATCACAGGCGTAAAAAATCAAATATATCAAAGGATTATTTGAACTTCTTTTGGTAAACGTGATTATCTGATTTGTCTCATCAAAATAAATTAAAAGTTCAAAATGTTAATAAATTAAAGTTCTAATTTTATGATAAAAATAATAACGATTTATATTTTAATTCTTCATCAATTATAAAATGGATAACATTAAAAAAGGAGGTTTGCAAGACAAAAAAATATACTAATTGGTGCTACCTTGAAATAATTCCTAAACGTTTTGCAATAATTGCATAATATTTGAATTAAAACAAAATATGACGCATATTATTAAGATTGGCAGACAGATCTTAGCAATATTGACATTATATTTTAAACAATGAAATGATTCGATATTAGGAGTTTCAAGTTTAAATTTTCAGTGACATTAAAATAATATTAAAAAAATATACTGACTTGTATCACGACAATTTATTAAGCGACCGACATAAAGTAGATCTAATGATTATCTAGTTTCCGAATCAGCCTTTTAGCTGTGTTACCAATTTACTCGGTTACAACTCGAGTATATCTGGGTCATAGAATAACAAATGGGTAAAAACAGGTAATATTTGGTGTCACGAGACTGTCGTGCTGCGGAAAATTATTGAAAATCTTTTAAGGTATTAAATTAATTGATTTATTTTAATTAATTATACAGTACATAACACGTTATTTATTATCTTTCTTTTATTCATTATAACTAGGAAACGGTACCCGTTAAAGCGTCCGAAGCGTTAAAGTACTGTATTACCAAAAAAGGTCACTAAAAAATTGTATCGCATAAAACAAATTTAGAAGTTAAATTAAAAATGTACCGCTTAAAAAATATATCGATAAAAAATGGGGGCGGTCAGTAGAAATCCACTTTTTAGTCAAAAATTTTTTTATTGGTTTACTCTGCTGATCATGGTCATGTGAACGAAACTAGCCTAATAACTAAAAATACTCGAAATTTGTAGATTTCCCCATTTTCTATTGACGTGAAAAAACAGATCCACTTGAATGGTAGAAAATTAATGAAAGTCAATAGCCAAATTTATCTAAAATGGCAAGAGATTTTTCATCTGAATAAAGTTTTTAATATGTAAAAATTTAATTTCAGGTAAAAGAAATCATTTATTAAGAAAAACAGTAGGATTATGTATGTGTTTAAAATCATGGTGGACTGGTCCTTTAAATGATTTAAATAATTAAGTGATATATAATTAAAAAAATTTTTTTATAAAAAATTTAATTTTTATTTTTATATATACAGTCTCCGGCGAAAAGAATGGTGGAAACATATTTTGACGGTATGTACAAACTTTATTTTAATGTATTTTTTTTTTATTATTTATAAGAACAATACTAATGACAACTTTTATATTATTAATTAATATTTGGTGTATCCTCCTACTGTATTGATACATGCTTTAACCTAGCTTGGCATGCTCTCGATACACTGAAATAACATGGCATTATCAAAATCGTCCTATTCTTGTCAAATTGTATTAAGAAATACATCGCAGGTAATGTTTTTTTTTTGCTACTAAATACTTGATCTTTTTTTCTACCTTTCCCTTTAATACAGCCCATACATTTTCAATAGGGTTCAAGTCTAGGCTATATGAAAGCCAAGAAAGAACTTGTCCTGAAAGATATTTTTTCAAGTTCTCTTGAACATTATATGAGGTGTGTTTTAGGTCATTATCTTGTTGGAAGACCCAGTTGTGTCTGTATAACATATTCGCATTATTATATAGGTGGTCATCTAAGATTTTTCGATACAAATGACGATCCAAATTTTCAGTAAACAAATGAATGCTAATTTTTCCTTTAGCACTAATCGCTGCCTAAACATGAACCTTGAATGGATGCTTTACTATAGAGGCAATTGGTTCTGCATTATGAGACCATACACACATGATATTTCTAAATATCTGAAGTATTGTTTAATCAGAAAAATAACTTTTTTTCAGTTGTATCACGAATGATCACGTGCTTAAGACAAATGAAATTCCTTCACTTTTTAGATCAAGAGAGAAACTTTTCTTAGAAGAACTGAAATATATCCAAGATTTTTGAGCTTACGATGTATCGTATATTCACTAACATCAAGGTTGGGATCTTTTTTTTCCAATTTTACCTTAAGTTCACCTGCTGTAGTAAAATGATTATGTTGCAAAATTTTTCCAATATGGTAGCGTTGATTTAAAGCCAATTTTCTTGGACGATCAGAAGAGTGACCAATAGAAATTTGCCAGTTTTATTTAGTAAACTGACATATCGTTTATATGTGCTCAAAGGAATGCATAATCATTTAGAAATTTTTTTTGATTACACACTTTTTGGTCCCAAAGTGACTTAACAGAATTTCTTTATATTTTTAAAGAGTTTGGCATAGTTTCAGAAAGCAAATCAAAATAAAAACAAATAACAAACCTTATTTTTTTAACTTACCTTTTTAATTCAGATTCTAATATCTGATTTGAGAATATAAACAAATGCTTAAATCTAAAAAGTGGTGAAACTGCAGCCTAAAATAGATGCGATTTTCCATCGTCATTCTTTTCGTCAGGGACTATATATTATCACCAGGTTCGTTTTTGTTTATCTTAACGTCTAAGTTAAAAGGCTGTGGCAGCTGATTCTACACGTTGGAGTTTCTGACCTTAGGATTTTCTCTAAGTTCTACAGGTATCCATTATACTTGAATTAACTCAGCAATTTATTATGACTTAGAATTTAAGATATGTTAGTCGAACTCATAATAACGAATTCAATAGCAAGTTAGTGTAGTGTATTACAACAATCCTAGATGAAGGACAACGTTGAAGGGAAAAATAGTTTGTGTGGATTTAAATTGATTCCTTTATTTATAACTTGAAACTCGCAGAAGAGTTAATAAACTTACAACTGAGTTAATTTACAA